CCCAATTTCGAGGGAGGCAAAGGGAAAATGGCGATATAGGAATGATAGCCAGATTTTGATATAGTCGTAGCCATACTGTCCCAGTAGATGGAGCGGGAATTATTTAAGTAGTGTTTGTGCCGAAATAAAGAAAAAAGTGAGTGTTTGAGAAATTAACGTGTAAGGTTTATTAGTTCATTTTAATTATAAATAATTATCCGTAGGGCAACCGGGGTCCCAACACAAAGGGCCCCGGGATATTAAATCGGGAGAAATAATTTGGATATTGGCATACATACATATACGCACCTTCTTTCGACCCAGCGATACGATTTGGACCAGCATAACTCGCCATCCTCGGACGCCGCCAACGCTTTCTAACCTACGCCGGAGTCCGTTCCTGGCTGTTAAGTCGCCTTGGGGTTAACTGGCTACCAATTCGCGCCGCGTCGAGAGGCACCGCCCTTCGCCTTAACCACCGCTCCTCGTGGTGTTTCTGACCATTATTGCCGCTGGCCTCTGTTGGAGTACGCTTCGGTCGGGGCATATTTTGCCCGGTGCCTAGCCTAGAAGTGGCTGAAAATCATAAATGTTAATTAAATGTGCACATTACGAAATTTATTTACTTACGGTGTTGACCTATAAATTTATCCGGACTACGGCCGAAAGCCTCAATTGGTCATCGTTGTTGCCTATAAAAAAAGGTCGCGATTATTAGTTTTCGGCGGGATCGCTTACAGCGCATACAGTTTGGCCTGTCCCTTCTTTTCCCCAGGAGCTCCTCAGGATTAGGTGACCTGACACATACATAGTGTGTGCCCTTTTTTGGGCGCCTCGTTCACTGCGAGTTCCACCAATACGTGACTGGTGGAACATAATTACCGCGGCGCCTGTAGCCTTTGCCAAGGGACCGCGTAAATTTGAAGACGGTGGCCAAGTCTGGTCGTAAAGGCTAAGAAAAGATACATTAATTACTAGGAGAGCCATTAATGTAAACTTTAGTACTTACGGTGATTATTAAATGTATATGAAGACCGAAATGTGCGAGTGAGTTGTCGCTGTGGGGGAGATGGAGCTGTCTTAGTCGCGAGGAGTGACTTCGACCAACTGATCATGGGTGATGCCTCCGCAGAATCCTCCGGGGCATTCTGGGTTGGGTGGGTGTGCTTGGCTAGGTCAACGATAGCCACCAAAACTTTATATATTTCCCGTCACTCTTAATTATTTGCATTGTTTACATTCTGCTTGTTTTGATTGTTAGTGAGGACCGATAGTTTTTGTGATGTGAGACACGAGTCATCGATGTTTAATGTTAGGGAGCTGTAGGGAGCATTGGGGGTACCCTGCCCTTAGCAAACGAGCTAGCCGGGGCGGTCCCCATGAAAAATAATGCAGTTCCGTAACATAGTGGCGCCCAAAGTAAAAAAAAAAAATTCGTCGAGACGACGTCGCCTCGCAATTAGGAATTTGCCTCGCATAGCCTTCACACCGCTGACTTGCAGGGCAACAGCAGGTTGCAAGCAACGGCACCGGGAGTGGTGGGCTGCGAGGCACCAGGAGGCTTGAGTCCGAATGGATACCATGGCTCCTGGTCACAGAGCAGACTGGTCGTGACTGCCGGGTGGCATCTTCGCCTGAAGGACTGAAGGATTTGCATCCAAGGCGATTATTTCTGTGATAACTCTGTGATATAAACTGTGATAAAATATGTTAGGGCGTAGTATTTATATTTTGTGTTTGTGGGGTAGAGTGCGTTGTACCTGAGGCTTTTGTTTCTCGGATGTGTTTGATATCTTCTGTCGATTGGATGCTTAAATGTGTGTTCGTGACCCGTGACTTACACGCGCTGAACGAACACCTCGATTTAAGGATCAAACTACAAACGGGAAAACAAAGCCAATAGGACTCAACCACCAGCCAAAGTCCTTAACTGTTGGCTATCACCACGAGTGATAGCCAGTTCAGTTGACCATTGGCTAGGATGTGACGGGAAAAATTGGGTTTTGGAGAAAGCGCAGGACGAGTTAGGTCGGAAGTGCACCGGCGGGGTCAGTTCCACCTCCCCATGTCAAAAAAATCTCAAAAGAATCAAATCAAAAAAGGAAGAATCATAGATATAAATATTATTTATTTATTTACTCTATTTATTTATTCTATTTATTTTCATATATTATTTATTCATTTTACGAAATATTTATTTATTTACCAAAAATATTATCAATTTATTTCCTAAGATTACACATTTATTTATTTATTTAAAACATTTATTTATTTATTTAAAATGTTGTTTCTATATTTATTATCCGTTATTGCATGCAACATCAAGTTCTGAAGCAAGTGAACTCGGAGCCGACCCAGCTGCTACAGATCGACGGAAGGGATGACCATACTCAGGAGGCGTTTCTGGACAACTCGGCGGGGTCGGTCGTAAATGTGGCATTGGCCCAGGCGGCAGAGACCCATCGAAAGGCTCAGGAGTCCGGAGTCAGCCAGTCCTTAAGGGATGAAATCCGAGGTGGTTTCCTGGAAATGATGAAGCTGATGAACGAGGTGTTAAGGCCTGCTGCTCAGCGGTCACAGCTTCGGCGTTTCTTTTGATGGCGAGGGCGAGCGAAATTCGGTGGAGGATTTCCTGTTCCGGCTCGAGTTCCTGCAGCGGCAGTACCAGTGCCCTTGGCAGGAGGTGCTCCGCCATTTCCATGTGCTGCTAACCGGACGGGCACGCGAGTGGTATTGGGTCCACGTGCGTCCCGGCAGAGTGGACAGATGGCCACAGCTGCGTGCCGCGTTGATGGACAGGTTCCGAGGCCACCAGACGGAGCACGACCGGATGCATCAGCTTCTGCAGAGGGAGCAACAGCCGGGAGAAGCCGTGGAGGACTATGTCCATGCGATGCAGCAGCTAGCCTGTCGCCTAAAAAAACCACTATTAGAGCGACAGATGGTAAAAATAATTAAAAAGGGCTTGAGAGAGGGTAAGATTCATTTACGCAATGGATGTGATGACTGTGGACGAGTTGAGGGAAGAGTGCTGCGAGGTGGAGCGCAATTTTGGACGACGAGGACGTGCGGCCTATGCGCACACGATGCGTTATCCTCCGGCGGAGAAGGCCAGGGTTATAGAGGCAGCTGGTCCCGACACTGCAGAGGATTCCCAGTGGCAGGTGGAGGCGTTCCGAGCAGGCTGCTGGAATTTCGGAGCCGTAGACCTCGGGTTCAGTGACTGGCCAGACACCGTGTCTCCAAGATGTCCGGATTGCGCGGAAAACGGTCGGCTGGGCGATCCGAGGGCGGGAAGGATGCGTCCAGACAAGAGTCCCGCGAAGCAGTAAATGTTATAGGACTAAAAAAAGGTTTAGTATGTACGAGTAGTAATAAGAACAATTTAAAATACTTACCTTATGAGGAAAGGAAGCGCAGGTACTTGGAGGCCAGGAATCGGATCTTCTCCAACCATCAATTGAGCGGGATGAGATTGGTGTCTCGGAAAGTCCAGAAGGCCAGGGATCGATTCTGGAAGAGACGAGCGAGGAGACGAGAAGTGGTTGCCGCTGTGAAGCGCATTGGAACGGGAGACCCTCGACCATTCGCTGAAGTCCGGATCCTGACGCAACAGCTGACTGGATTGTTGGACACGGGAACGAGTGTCAGCCTGCTGGGCAAAAATGGAAGAGAGCACGTCGAGGCGTTGGATGTGCCAATCCACAAGTACCTATCCGTGGACCGAACGGCGTCTGGAGAGGACCGCTCGATTATAGGACGCGTCGAGCTACCTGTGGAGTACAGAGGACAGATAAAGCGGATCCTGTTCTATGTATGTCCTTACCTGGAGCAGGAAGCCTATTTTGGAGTGGACTTCTGGCAGGCGTTTGACTTGGCTCCAGCGGTGATAGGCCACAGCGACCCGGAAAGCGTGAAGAAGGCAGACGAAATCCACGCTAGGGATATGAAGCACTACGCCGAACAGGAATATGACGACGAGGAAAAGCCGGATCCCGAATCCTGGTCCTTATCCGAGGCCGACGCACGACGGCTCGCGGAGATCCAGCAAATGTTTCTCACGTTTGGGAAGGATGGTCTGGGAACGACCAATCTGGAAACGCACGCGATCGAGCTGATTGAGGGAGCCAAGGTCTTCAAGGATCGGCCGTATCCCATGTCTCCAGCCAAGCAAAAGGTAGTCGAGGATGAGGTGGACAAGATGCTAGAGTTTGGAGTCATCGAGGAAAGCAAGAGCCCGTGGAGCAACCGGACGACGGTAGTGTCGAGACCTGGAAAGGATCGGTTCTGCTTAGACCCGTTGCCTAGTATCGACGGAATCCTGTCCAGAATCGACCAAACGTTTTACATTTACAGCGTGAATTTGAAGTTCGCATTTTAGCAGATCGAGTTGGACCCGAAAAGCAAGGAACTGACGGCCTTTACGGTTCCTGATCGGCCTCTCTACCAGTTCCGGGTGATGCCCTTCGGACTCTGCAACGCGGCGCAGCGGTTGGTGAGACTTATGGACCGAGTGATCCCAGCTGAGATCCGTTCCAACGTCTTCGTCTACTTAGATGATCTGCTGATACTGGCTCCAGATATCCAGACCCATTTCAGGTACCTTCAGCGAGTCGCAGAGTGTCTGAAAGCAGCGGGTTTAACCATCGGTATGAGTCAGTCAAAGTTTTGCTTCAAATCGTTGACCTACATGGGCTTTGTCGTTGGTGGAGGTCGTCTGCGAATAGATCCAGGACGAGTGGCAGCAAATAAGGAGGATGCCAGAGCCTAGGACGATGAAGGAGGTGAGAGCGTTTCTCGGGACTGCTGGATGGTACCGCCGGTTCATAAAGAACTTCGCGACGTTGGCCACCCCGCTCACTGAATCATTGAAGAAAACTGGAAACTTGAAGTTTTCATTGAGTCCAGAGGCCCAGCTAGCTGTAGAGTCCTTGAAGATGGCGTTTACGACGTCACCAGTCCTGGTGCATGCGGACTTTAGTGCGATGCGTCACACATCGGAGTCTGGGCGGTGATTTTCCAGCGAGACGACGACGGACAAGAGCAGCCAATTGCCTTTTTCTCGGCCAAGATGAATAAACATCAGGTAAATTACACCGTGACCGAGAAAGAGTGTCTCGCGGCGCTAATGGCCATTCGGAAGTTCCGGCCATATGTCAAAGGGATGCCATTCTCCTGCATCACAGACCATGCCAGCTTGAAGTGGCTCATGTCCATGAAGGATCTGTCGGGACGTTTGGCGAGGTGGTCACTGCAGCTTCGAGGATTCCACTTCAACATCGAGCACCGAAAAGGAAGTGATAACGTCGTGGCAGACACCCTTTCACGGTGTGTGGATGAGCTCGTAGTGAATCCGACGGATTTGTTTGAGTTCGAAACCACCGAGTTCGCTGGAGAAGATTACCTCGAGTTAGTGAAGGATGTGGGGAGTAACTTGGAAAGCTTACCGGACTTGAAGATAGAGGATGGCCTCATCTTCAAGAGAGTCTCTTCAGCAAATCTGGACGATGAGGTGGAAGGTTCCGAGTGAAAACTGTGGATCCCACAGAGTCTGACCCACAGCATAATCGAGCGTGCGCATACGGACCCAACAGCAGCTCATGGCGGAATGGGAAAGGCTCTGGATATCCTATGACGACAGTTCTACTGGCCAGGCATGGTGCTGCAAGTCCGAGCGTTCGCACGCTGATGTAAGGAGTCCAAGGCGCCGAATTTCCGGATGCAAGTTGGTATTGGGGAAAGAGTCCAGACTGAGCAGCCATTTCAGAAACTGTACATCGATTTTTAGGAAAATATCCGAGGTCGAAGAAGGGCCACGCATGGATCTTCATTGTAGTCAACCATTTTTCGAAGTACACGTTTCTAAAAGACATGAAGGAAGCCTCGGCCGCCAGCGGCCTCATCCACGAGGTATTCTAAAAGTTCGGGGTCCCGGAAATCATTCACTCGGACAACGGTCGACAGTTTACGTCAAAGATCCTCGTGGGACAATGGAGAATTTCGGCATTTCCCACATCAAGACATCAGGCGGCAATCCGGAGTTATGTGGAGGAAGACCATCGGGAATGGGACGCATTTCTCCCGGAGATCGAGGTGGCTCTTCGCAACGCGATACACGCAGCAACTGGGGAAACGCCCTTCTTCACGATTTTCGGACATCATATGTTCTTAAACGGGGCCAGCTACAAGTTTGCGAGAAAGTTGAAATCCCTGTGCGACCATGAGATTGCTGGGATGCGAACGGTCGACAAGCTCAAAATAATCGCCAGCAGTACGACCAGAGAGCTCGAACGTTCCTTGCAAAGCCAGGCCAGGTAATGTATCGCCATAACTTCGTCCTCAGCGACTTCAAAAGTGCCTTTAACGCGAAGTTTGCTCGGAAGTTCCTCAAAGCTCGGGTGGTGAAAGCAGTCGGCAACAATGCTTACGAGCTGGAGAATCTTCAAGGACGTCGGTTAGGGGTGTATCACGCCAAGGACATCCGGGTATAACCTGAAAAAAAGGCAGCACAAATTAAAGGAACGCAACAAAAAACAAAGGCAGTACTTACCGGTAAGCGTGGGCCCCGCGAAGGACACCGTTTGGAACTGCATTCGGATTTCGCCAGACACCGATCCCCAATGCTCCCAATGATTTCGTCGAGTGGCCACGGTTCAGAGGCGTCTCTCTAAATCCTTGGGTGATGTTGCATTTCAATTTGGAATCGGCTAGAAGAATTAAGAAGGAGGTATTCGTTTTTGGTAGGGCTATCGATTAAGTTGATTTAGTGGAAACCCCTACTGGAGTGGCGCCCCCTTTTGCTGATGCCCTCGGCTATCTAGCTATTGAAACTAGCCCGGTTCGCTCTGGGTATGGTTAGGATGGCCTTGATATGTCCAATGACCCAATTTCGAGGGAGGCAAAGGGAATATGGCGATATAGGAATGATAGCCAGATTTTGATATAGTCGTAGCCATACTGTCCCAGTAGATGGAGCGGGAATTATTTAAGTAGTGTTTGTGCCGAAATAAAGAAAAAAGTGAGTGTTTGAGAAATTAACGTGTAAGGTTTATTAGTTCATTTTAATTATAAATAATTATCCGTAGGGCAACCGGGGTCCCAACACAAAGGGCCCCGGGCTATTAAATCGGGAGAAATAATTTGGATATTGGCATACATACATATACGCACCTTCTTTCGGCCTAGCGATACGATTTGGACCAGCATAACTCGCCATCCTCGGACGCCGCCAACGCTTTCTAACCTACGCCGGAGTCCGTTCCTGGCTGTTAAGTCGCCTTGGGGTTAACTGGCTACCAATTCGCGCCGCGTCGAGAGGCACCGCCCTTCGCCTTAACCACCGCTCCTCGTGGTGTTTCTGACCATTATTGCCGCTGGCCTCTGTTGGAGTACGCTTCGGTCGGGGCATATTTTGCCCGGTGCCTAGCCTAGAAGTGGCTGAAAATCATAAATGTTAATTAAATGTGCACATTACGAAATTTATTTACTTACGGTGTTGCCCTATAAATTTATCCGGACTACGGCCGAAAGCCTCAATTGGTCATCGTTGTTGCCTATAAAAAAAGGTCGCGATTATTAGTTTTCGGCGGGATCGCTTACAGCGCATATTACGTACCGTTTGGCCTGTCCCTTCTTTTCCCCAGGAGCTCCTGATCTGCTGATACTGGCTCCAGATATCCAGACCCATTTCAGGTACCTTCAGCGAGTCGCAGAGTGTCTGAAAGCAGCGGGTTTAACCATCGGTATGAGTAAGTCAAAGTTGCTTCAAATCATTGACCTACATGGGCACATTAAGAAATTTATTTACTTACGGTGTTGACCTATAAATTTATCCGGACTAGGGCCGAAAGCCTCAATTGGTCATCGTTGTTGCCTATAAAAAAAGGTCGCGATTATTAGTTTTCGGCGGGATCGCTTACAGCGCATATTACGTACTGTTTGGCCTGTTCCTTCTTTTCCCCAGGAGCTCCTCAGGATTAGGTGACCCGACACTTACATAGTGTGTGCCCTTTTTTGTGCGCCTCGTTCACTGCGAGTTCCACCAATACGTGACTGGTGGAACATAATTACCGCGGCGCCTGTAGCCTTTGCCAAGGGAAGGTAATCTTCTAGTTTGACCGCGTAAATTTGAAGACGGTGGCCAAGTTTGGTCGTAAAGGCTAAGAAAAGATAAATTAAATACTAGGAGAGCCATTAATGTAAATTTTAGTACTTACGGTGATTATTAAATGTATATGAAGACCGAAATGTGCGAGTGAGTTGTCGCTGTGAGGGAGATGGAGCTGTCTTAGTCGCGAGGAGTGACTTCGACCAACTGATCATGGGTGATGCCTCCGCAGAATCCTCTGAGGCATCAATTATATCTCCATGTCAACATGGATTTATAAGGCGAAGATCTACGACGACAAACCATTTGGAGCTAACGTCTTTTGTAATAAATGGCTTGAAAAAGAAAATGCATGACGTAGTATATAACAATTTTAGTAAAGCGTTTGATTCAGTAAATCACTCGATTCTTGTATTTAAGCTAGTCTTATTAGGGTTTCCATGTGATATTCTAACATGAATCTTATGTTATCTTTGTGGTAGTACTCAACGAGTCCTCTTTAAAAGCTCTATCTCGAATTTTTCCGACTTACTTCAGGCGTACCACAAGAAAGCCACCTTGGCTCACTTCTTTTTACATTATTTTTTAACGATCTCCCTCTAGTCCAGACAGTGTTGCGTGTCCTCATGTACGAAGATGTCCTTAAGTTATGCCTGCAATATAACGAAATTTCCAGCAGTTTTGACTTACAATCGGATTTAAGTAGCGCTAAGTGTAAAGTAATGCCATTATTTAGGGTGAACCCACAATATGCCACGTATACGCTGGGAGATGATGCATTGTCTAGAATCACGCATATTGATGACCTTGGCGTCCTTCTTGACCCAAAACTTAAGATTTGTGACCATATTACTTCCATGGTAAATAAAGCCCAGGCAGTACTTGGATTTATTAAAAGGTGGTCAAAGGAATTGAAAGATCCCTAAATTACAAAGACTCTGTTCATTTCACTAGTCCGTCCAATCCTGGATTACTGATCAGCAGTTTGGAGTCCTCAGTATGGTGTACATATAAACCGGGGCCTTAACTGAAATGCAAGCCTTATTTTACCATCTTACTATAGTAGATTTCTTCTAATTAATCTAACATTCTTATTAAACCGTAGAACGATGCTTGGCACTATTTTTATTCATAAAATTATTCACGGGGATGTGGAGAGTCCCGAGTTACTGGGTCGCCTAAACTTCTCTGTGCCTAATAGAATTACCATAAACTGTATTCCTCAAGAATATCAATAAATTTTAACGAACAGCAAAGTGACGCATTCAATAGACTCCGAAATATTTTAGCATCAGAAGATGTCACCCTCAAATACCCGGATTTCAAGAAACCGTTCGATCTAACCACTGATGCGTTAGCTTACGGCATCGGGGCTGTCCTTTCAGACAAAGAACCCTTAATTATAATATCCAGACCCGTTACGCAACAAACGAAAGAGGGTTGCTCGCTATAGTCTGGGCTCTAGGAAAATTAAGGCAATATTTATTTTAAACAGCGGAAAAACCATTAAATTGTTTAAGAAACCAAATGGTCCTAGAAAAGGCAAGTATTTATACCTTTCGTAAATAAATGCAAGCCGAACAGATCGAAATAATTACCGCAGAGCCAACCGTGCTGAACAGGAAAATATCAGAAAAGGCCTTCGCGACTACTATTTTCCGAAAATGTCCAAATAAGGGACCGATGCAGTGACGAATTGCAAGATCTTTAGTGCTGCAAAATATGACTTCGAGTACCACCAATTCCGTCATATGTCGGCGAAAGGTTGCATATTGACATATTTTCCACCAATAACAAATTATTTCTAACTTGCATCTACAAATTCTCTAAATTTGCAACAGTTCAACCAATAGTATCTAGGGCAATAGTAAACGTAAAAATGTCTACGAAGCATATTTTAACTCCGAATCGATCACATCGTTACTCAAAAATCAATATGGCATAGATCTTGTAAATGCACCCCCGCTGCACAGTAGTTCATACGGGCCAATTAAACGCCTCCACAGCATCCTTACAGAAATCGCGAGGTGCATCAAAATGGATAAGCAAATTAATGATACTGCGGAGCTAATCGTGCGGGCGACCGTTGAATACAATAAAACGTTGCATTTTGTCATTAACCAAAAACACATCGATGTAATTGTCCAAAAGGACAACCTTAAAAACTTCTCTCTTAAAATCACGCACACTTAAAAAAGAAAATCACGCACACATATTTAGAAGTAAGCCATTAGATTTAACATGTAACTTTCTTACACGATCGCGTGAATCATATAAACACATTAGCTAGCGCTAGAGTGACGGACTACTCCCACGCTCAGTACATCCTTATAACTGACGGAGTTACATTGGTGTGGGAACATTCAAGCAGTTTGACAGAGTTTTCAATTATGATAGACGAAACTGCAAGGTTGTCCGAATTTTTTCCACAATCACACATGCGAAAGTTGCTAGACGTTGATACTGATCATATTAGGAATATCTTATCCGTATTTTAGGTACACCACGGAATTGCCAGAAGCCTAAACATTTCAGGCAGCCCATAAAAAGTGGTAGCTGGCACTCCTCATGCTGCTGACCTCGAAATGTTAAAAATGTCCGAGTCCCGATTAATTGAGTCAAACAATAGATAAATAAAAATTAACACTGAACCGTCAACGAAATCATTAAGGCAAAAATGAGGGACCTAGTTGTCACCCCACAATTATACGAGGTTATTTTGGCAAGAAATATAATTCTAACTACAGTGATTCAGAAAATGATGCTCACGGTCACACTTGCAAAATCAAAAATCATAAGCCCAACCAATTTTAACCATGATGATTTCAAGTCCGTATTAATTGATCAGCCCACAGAGGTACCCATTATAAGCCTAATTGAGGCATATAATATTAAAGTCCTTCAGTCCGATAGTATTATTCAAGTGCTAATTGCACACGCTAAGATTACATTTACATGTGGAAAGCTTATCGTCTTTCCAGTTTCGCATCAACATGAAAGCTGAAGGCAACAATGAAGTTTTAGCGATTACAGACTGCGTATCGACAATCTACGAACCATTCTGCAAACTGGCAACCCAAGATAATTGCGCCCGAGGTCTGCACCCAGGGGTCACAGTACATTATAAAACACCGGCCAGCCCCTAAGCCCAACCACGCTGGTAGACGATGGTATTATGGCCCGGAAATAGTCAGCACGGATGATGGCCCCGAAATAAAAAAAAACGACACGCATCTAATTACATTTGAGCGACTAGCCTTTGTCAATGACACCAAATATTTACCCCAGCGTGAAAGTATAAGAAAAACCCCGGGTATGGCGGCTTCCCCCCGCTAAATATCATCGGGCATAATCACGTTTTAAGTATGCCGCTACTCCAGAGGATGAACAACCAAAACCTGCAAGAAATCCAAAACCTCAAAGATGAAGTAAGGTCCGCTGGATCAACTGACATCTGGATCGCTGTCGGAGTGGGATTAAGCTTCCTAATTAGCGGTTCCATTCTGCTCCATCTAGTGTGGAGGAGAAGACAAGTTGCATTGGAAGAGCGACAGGTGGCCGACAAATTCAAAGCGACTGAAGACGGTCTTACTCCTAACGGGGAAGTAGTTAACATTACTGAAGGTAACAAAGGGACGGTAGAAACCTTGGGAGATTCTTGGATTGCCCTAGTGTTTCTAGATGCCGACTCAGCACAGAAGCCTTTGGGGGCGGCGCCAGTATCCCATTGGTTCCCAGTGTGGTGAGTTTTGGGCATTCTTGCCGACCAAGCTAACGTTTTCGTACAGTTAAGTTCCTCAGTTCTGTTTTACATTAATTTGAATAAAGAGCCAAAATGCTCGCGAACAATACTCCGGCCATTGCCGTTATTTTATTGATATACGCCCACTGAGCATAAGGCCAGGGGTATAGGGGAGCAGTCATCGTAAACTTCAATTCATATATCGACACCGGACTCCCTTAAGCGGAAGCTACGCACAGGTACCATCTTATCTTATCTTATAAATTATTAACCAACACTTATGCATATGGAATTTTAGGACCCATCTCCAAAATTTACTGAATTTTAAATTTATTCCGCCCAAAAGTATGTATGTGGACCGTACAAGAGCTAACGATGCCAACACAGAGAGTCGAATTCACAAAGTTTTCTTAATGATTAGGCCAACAATGGCCAAAGAGTCGATGACAATGTACAAATACATGTACGTATTCCGTGTATGTATTCTATGCGCCTACAAAACCTTTCTGAACAATTTAAAACAGCACTGCACAAAAGAGCAGTGAAACTTAACGGCACAAACCCGTTTTAACTATAGCTGTCCTTTTGCAGTTTTACCGTTGTGCAGGTACCAACACCAAATTCTCCATATTTCCACATAAATTTTTGCACACAACAATTTTGTCACTTTTATTTTGGTTTGTATGGGTTTAAGGGTTTTTAAACAATTCTTTTTGAGTCGACTTTGAAATGCCGAACCAAGTTTCGCCAGCTAGGTTACGTTGCACACCGGAGAAAATGGAAACGAATAAGTACGACTTCTCTCACACGAGCGGTACCCAAATTTAGTTACAAAGTCGTATCAGTAGAAGAGTAAGCCACTTAGCTGTACGCAAAGCTTAAGTGCAAGCACAGTTAAGAAACTTGTATGTGAGAGCATTTTAGATTTGTTTAGTTTACATTTAATTTCATTTACATTAAACATAAATTCATACATTTATAATTTAAATAATTTTAAATTAAGCTACTGCTCCAACAAGCTTCCTAAAGCCAACAAGCGTCAAAACAAAACTACAAGTTGGGCTCCGTTGAAAGGACGACACTTGGCCTGTCAAATTAGCGCACTTGGTCTGCACCATCTTTTTACATAGCCTGCAAGTCATGTTACACCGGTCAGTCCTAATTACCAGGTTCTATTTTTTGCAGAAACAGTCTTAATTATTACACTTCTGCCCAAATTTATACGACACCCCGAAAATTTTATTTTCGACCCTCGTAGGAGAATGGGATAGCATATTACAACAAAATCAAGTATGCAGAATGGAAGCTTAATGAATTCTGCTTTAAATGTGATTTTCTTATTTCCAATGTTCTTGCGTTGCAGTCGCATTAAAGGCTCCGCAAACCATCTCGGATCCGCCTCCAGAATTGCGTTTGGAAAACATAATTAATCCTTACGCAATTCTCTCCAATAGTGCCGAAACCCATCTGGGCCGTCAAAACTACATTTTTTTCATCAGAAAAAATTATCTAAAGGAAAAATATTAAACAAAACTGTATAAACAAAATAAAGTTAAATTTTCATTTTATTCGGTTTTACAAGTTCTTTCAATACTCGAGTAACCCTTTCTAGGTCAAATTGTTCATCTGTAATAGTTCGTCTTAATTTATTTTTAAAGAAGATACAATTCTTTACTCTTCTCAAATTTCCTAGTTCAAAAATGTACTGTGATTTGAATTCGTTAATTGATTTTTCCGAAGTTATATCCGCTTCAGTTGATATTGTCATACAGTTTGTATTGAGTGTGACACGACTTAATAAGTCGGCAACCTTATTTTGTGACCCTTTCTTATACACCACTTATAGTCATCCAACTACTATAGTTGGAGTACCAATTTTGACTTTGGTTCTTTAAAACTCATTAGGGATGTTAGTCATACTCTAGTAATTAAAGTTTTCAACGCACCAATTTTGACTTTGGTTCTTTGAAACTCAGTGTTGCGAGGCTAATAAGAAGGTTTAGCCGCGCGCCAACTGTCCAATTTCAAAAGTCGATTTATTTGAATTTATCTGTTAGTTTAAAAATACTCTTAAGTTGTTTAACACTGTAAGTTATCGTTAGTATTGGAAAACTTAAGAATTTAAGAAGAAGAAAAGGACGCTATAAGAAGTTTAAGAGAGGCAAACCACAAGTGTAAGAAAAAATGTATTAATTTGATTAATTGTGAAATCCATTTAAATTTAAATAAAGATTTCAGCTATCTGTATGCTGTGAACCAGAGCTCGAAATAAGTGGAAACCCTCTGGGACCGTGAGTGTCCCAACATTCTGAAATACTTTGCCATCTGGAAAACTCGGTGCCAAGGGTGCACGTGATTTCGGGAAAGCATTCTTTTACCAAGGGTGTAAGAGAGTGAGGACAGAGTATACAAGATAGTGGTCATTGAGAGCCAAATTCGTAAGTTTCGACGACTTTGGCTGGTGAAACGTACATGAGTTGCGTAGTGGTACTTGTACAAGGAGTGACGTCACAAGTGCGAAATGGATGATGCAATAGGAAACGCATCTGGTGAACAGAATTTACACACCACGGGATTGGAAGCAGGTTCAGTTGGAATCGCAGGATGCAATTTCACTGAGCCATTCAGAGGTTTTGAGGATGAAAATGTATCCAGACAAACTGTTATTTACTCGAACCAGTTTGTTTCGCTTGAGAATGCAAGCACACCGATTATGTTTAATCATGCCGGCTACGACGCTTCGCAGAATTGCGCAGGGCATCAGTACTCACAGCAAGTTAACAAGCAAAGGGCCGCCACACCTCCGTATACAGAAAGGAGGGCGATGACTGAAATATTACCGAACGCATCTTCTTATGCGAATCTTCAGGGAAACATTTCAGGTCAGTTTATGCCGACATATACCGCAGCGCAATGCATACCGCCATGTAACACTGTCGGATTCATGCCACCAAACAATGCACCAATATCTGTACATCCAAATGGTGCCGCAGGATTTATTCCGCCAGCCAATGGGCTGGGTTTTGTACCACAGCCTAACTTCGTTTATAATGTTAGTAACGTTGGAGGAGGAAGACATATGCCACAGTTTGCCGGCACACAGCTCCCACATGCAGTATCATTGGGACACACATTGACGCCAGCTCAAGTTGCATCGCGTCAGGTCATATCACGGGACTTGCCAGTTTTCAACGGAAAGCCCGAAGAGTGGCTTTTATTTATAAGTAATTATGAACAATCAACCGAGAGATGTGGATTTACCAACGAAGAAAATCTAATCAGACTCCAGAAGTGCCTGAAAGGATCTGCGCTAGAAGCTGTGCGAGGAAAGCTTATGATCCCAGCTATGGTACCTTATGCTATTGGAACGCTAAGGATGTTGTATGGACGTTCAGAAATAGTGCATGCTCGCTTGCAACGGAAGCTAAAAGAAGAGCCGTCCATCAAACCCAACAATTTGGAATCCGTGATTCGACTGGCACTGGCAGTCCAGAATTATTGTGCAACAATGATGTCAGTAGGACTACAGGAATACCTTAATGATTATTCTCTGTTAAGCGATTTGGTTGCTAAGTTGCCAAGTGATCTTAAGCTGGATTGGGGTAGACATCGTTTAGCAGCTGGTGCCGCCAATTTGACCACCTTTGACAAGTGGCTTTTTGGAATAGCGATGTGCGCGACGATGGTTGCACCCTATGAATGTCACTCAACAGAGAAAGATAAAAGTGGAAGGTATTCAAAGGAGCGCCTGCTAGTGCACGACATGCTAGGAAGCAATGACGACGGCAAGTCGAAGGCACACGTCACAGAAGATCAACCTTGTCCAGAATGTGGCTGCGACCATGGTCTGGCAAATTGCAAAGGATTCTTATCCATGTCCATCAAGTCGAGAGTGGAATTTATTAAATCCAAACGACTTTGCTTTTATTGTTTTGGAAAGCATATTGTCCGTAACTGCAGAGTGAAGAAACTTTGCACCCTCGATGGATGTAAGTTACCGCACAACGTGCTACTGCATTATCCGAATACTGAGATTAACAGCGAGATTCGTAATGACAAAGAGGACAGCCCTAGAAAAACCGGCGATTCAGAGACCAGCGAGTCAACAGTTTTCTTTCATGAGAAATCAACAACAAAGGCCCTGTTCCGTTATATACCAGTAACTTTGCACAATAACTCCCGTAGCATAGACGTTTATGCTCTAATCGACGAAGGCGCGTCCTGCACGCTAATAGAACGATCGTTAGCCGATGAGCTAGGGCTTGACGGTCCTGAAGAGCACCTTTGTCTTAAGTGGACTAGCGACGTGACCCAGAGCGAGTCAAAATCGAGAGTCGTTAGCGTCAGTGTTTCCGCTAAGGGTCGTCCGGAAGTAAGACACGGACTTAAAGGAGTGCGTACTGTAAGCCATTTGAATCTTCCATTGCAAAGCATCGAAGATCGGACACTCAAAGAACGTCAGCACTTGAGAACAGTTCCAATTTCAACATACAAAGATGTTAAGGCTCAAATTATCATCGGACTAGACAATATTAAGATCAGTGTGCCGCTGGAGGTACGTCAAGCTGAAAATGACGATCTTATTGCCGTTCGATGTAAATTAGGATGGTCTGTGTACGGCCGCCAAGGACCGGAAAATGGCACGCCACCTCATGTATTCCATATCTGCCATTGCACAACAGTTTGCGGTACGCGGAAACTTGATGAAGCTATGAAGGCATTCTTCTCGTTGGAGTCATTCGGCGTGAGTGTTCCTTTAAAACCGTTGCGATCTAAGGAAGATGAACAGGCGCTAAAGATAATGGAGGCAACTACAAAATACATTTCCAACGAAAGGCGCTGGGAGACTGGGCTGTTGTGGAAGTACGACAAAATCAATATGCCCGATTCGTACCCCATGGCTCTCAAAAGGCTCAAGTGCCTTGAGGCGAAAATGTTAAAAGATCCGAAGCTGAAAACGTTTTTGAATAATACCATGCAGCACTACAAGGAAAAGAGATACATTCGCAAACTGGAAAAGTGTGAGTTATCAAACAGTACACGTTCTTGGTATCTTCCCATATTCACGGTTACAAACCCTAACAAAAAGAAGACACGCCTGGTCTGGGACGCGGCAGCGCAAGTTGACGGCATATCACTAAACGACACTCTTTTAAAAGGACCAGATATGTTGGTGTCCTTGATGGGTGTGCTGTTGCGCTTCAGAGAACGACCTATAGCGGTATCAGGTGATATACGTGAAATGTTTCATCAAATTAAGGTTTGCGCCCTAGACCAATATTCCCAGAAGTTCTTATGGCGTAATGGAGAAATTAATCGCCCACCGGATACATTCGTAATGCAAGTGATGACGTTCGGCGCTGCATGCTCGCCGTCACTTGCCAACTTTATATTGAGACGTAATGCAGAGAGATTTGGTGAAAGTCATCCAGAAGCCGTAAAAGCAATTTGTCGAAACACTTTCGTTGACGATTGGTTGGAGTCAGTTGATACAGAGGAGCAAATGGTTCAACTCGCAAATATTATTAAGGATATTCACGCGAAGGGTGGATTCGAAATGAGAAATTGGCTATCAAACTCCAAGCGCGTCGTGCGCTCTCTGAATGACGTTTATGAAGCATCGCCTAAGTATCTTGGCACACAGGACGAACTACAGGAGAAAGTGTTAGGGATGTGGTGGCTGCCCGAGTCGGATATGTTAACGTTTGTCATCAAGCCTGAGTTGCTGCAGAGGTCGTCAGCTGGCTCTCATACGAAGCGCCGAGTGCTGAGTATCGTTATGTCCATTTTCGATCCACTCGGGCTTCTTGGATTTTTTAACGTACGTGCCAAAATTATTCTCCAAAATATTTGGAGGTCTGGTGTGAACTGGGACGACGCAATCAAGGAACAGGATGAGATTGACTGGATGAAATGGCAGGCCTTACTGCCCAAACTGAGCGATCTGCGTATTCCTCGCTACATGTCATGTTCGAGCAATGTTAAGAGTCTGCAACTACATATGTTCGTTGATGCTAGTTTGGATGCTTACGCTGCGGTAGCTTATTTGCGTATTGATCTTGGAGGCGAAATCCGATGCTCCTTGCTAGCATCGAAAACCAGAGTAGCGCCTTTGAAACCTATATCGGTACCACGAATGGAATTAATGGCAGCGATTTTAGGATTGCGCCTGGCCAAGTGTTTGGAGTCTGAGCTATCAAACGAAATTGAAAAACGCGTATTCTGGACTGATGCTCAAGATGTTCTGTTCTGGATAAGATCCGACGCTCGCAAGTACCCGCAATTTGTAGCTCTACGAGTCAGAGAAATTCTTGAAGGGTCCGAAGTTGGTGAATGGCGCTGGATACCCTCGGAACTAAATGTAGCGGACGATGGGACTAAATGGACAAAAAGTGTTGAGGTAAATAGTTCAATACGATGGTTTACCGGACCGAATTATCTGTTTCAGGATGAATCGGAGTGGCCACGCGGAAATGAAATGTCTAAAACCAGAGAAACTCAAGTATTGTACCACAAGGAGGAAATTAAGAAACAAATCTCGCCTTTGGCATGTGTAATGCCGGATCCACTACGTTTCAGCAAACTGGAGCGTCTGCGTGCTGCGCAAAAGAGAGTTTTGGATTTTCTACGCCTTCTTTCCGTGAAACCGCACGGACCTGAGCTGGAGGGACTGCTTTTGCTTAAGCGCGATGTAGAAATGGACACAATTTTCATACGGACATGCCAAGAAGAAGAGTTTTTTGATGAAATTCGATGCCTTAAGGAAAATCGTTGCCTGACAAACCGGAAAAGCATAATATATAAATGCTCGCCGTACTTAGACCCAGTCGGAGTGCTTCGTATGCACGGTCGAATCGATGCTATCGAAAATGTTGAAGTCAGCGTAAAGCGTCCTGTTATACTTTCGCGTCACCACAGGATTGCATACCTTATAGTAGAGTATCACCACCGGAAGTGCCACCATCTGCATGCAGAAATAGTTGTCAACGAAATACGACAAAAGTATTGGATACCAGGTATGCGAGCCCTTGTAAAGGAAATCATCAATAACTGTCCCGTGTGCTGCATCAGGCGAGCACAACCCATTCCACCGATGATGGGAGCTTTACCAAAGGAACGTCTATCGGCACATACACTACCATTTACGTTTACTGGAGTAGACTACTTTGGACCCATTGAAGTTGCTGTAGGAAGGCGTCGCGAGAAGAGATGGGGAGTTTTATTTACTTGCCTGACAGTTCGCGCTGTTCATTTAGAATTGGTGCCATCTCTTTCAACGGACTCATTTTTATTGGCTCTAAAACTATTTACTGCTCGCAGAGGTGTGCCTCTTAAGATGCTATCCGATAACGGAACGAATTTTCGGGGAGCCAGCAGAGTACTCGCGCAAGAGATCGAACGTATATCAACGTCAGCAGTGGAAAGCCAGTATCCGGAGATGTCGTTTACCTTTATTCCTCCTGGATCGCCTCATATGGGCGGCAGCTGGGAGCGTATGGTGCGCTCTACAAAGTCAATCTTGACGGAAATTCTGTCGAACGTCGGACTGCGCGAGGAAGTATTGCGCGCTGCGTTGGCCGATGTCGAATGCACCCTAAACTCAAGGCCGTTGACCTATATTCCGTTGGAATCGGAAAATTCGGAAGCCCTTACTCCAAATCACTTCTTGTTTGGTAACTCCAGTGGTCTACGGGAACGCGGTGCGATGGAAACCAATGGATTAGGCTTGGCCAAAAATTTCCGCATCGCTGGTCAACTAGCAGATCGTTTCTGGAGAAGATGGATTCGAGAGTATTTACCCACCCTGACGAGACGTACAAAATGGTTTCAGCCGAACTTAGCTCCAATTTCCGTGAATGACGTGGTTCTTATTGTTGATGAAACAAGCAAGCGAAACTCCTGGCCTAAAGGGATCGTCGTGGATGTTCATTTGGCGAAGGATGGACTCGTTACTCGCCCGGCAGTTAAACTGGCTAAATTGGACATCATAAGGATTGGTAATACTCAGCGTAGTCACGCAGAAGAATCACAAGGTGGGGAATGTTGCGAGGCTAATAAGAAGGTTTAGCCGCGCGCCAACTGTCCAATTTCAAAAGTCGATTTATTTGAATTTATCTGTTAGTTTAAAAATACTCTTAAGTTGTTTAACACTGTAAGTTATCGTTAGTATTGGAAAACTTAAGAATTTAAGAAGAAGAAAAGGACGCTATAAGAAGTTTAAGAGAGGCAAACCACAAGTGTAAGAAAAAATGTATTAATTTGATTAATTGTGAAATCCATTTAAATTTAAATAAAGATTTCAGCTATCTGTATGCTGTGAACCAGAGCTCGAAATAAGTGGAAACCCTCTGGGACCGTGAGTGTCCCAACACTCAGTTAGGGGTCGGTGATCTGTAACGATCTAAAATTTGTGTCTGAACATATAAGGCGGCAGTATTTGGTTGCCCAAATGATTGCTAGCATTTCTTTCTCTACTGTGGAATAAGTTGTCTCCCTATCATTTAGCTACGTTGCTAGCGTTCGAGGCTAGTATAAATGGTTTTTAGAAGTCTGGGTATTTTAAAAGCCTTTCTTATATTTTTCACTAACTTGGACAGCAGTTTTACCCTTTAGCTGCGTTTAAAGTACACTCTTACCCAAAATGATACGACACCCAGAAAATTTTAGTTTCGACCCTTGTAGGAAAATGGGAAAGCATATTACAACAAAATCAAGTATACTATATATATAACCTGTCTCTAAGCTTTTTTTCCCTAATTGAAGTCGTGCTGTTTGGTGGCGCGGTTTTAAGAACGGACTACTCTGATATACACTACAATGATTGCAGCGTCCGCCAAACAGTAATCCGTGACATAGGCTTACTACAATTTGCGGCAAAAGTACAGCACGATGCAAAGGAATTGCTAGCTTTCTGTATTATGCGACGTTTATTGCGGTCAGACATCTTGGGTTTTCTACTAGAACTTCGCTTCACACAATATTTATCCGGATTGTTCAAAAATTTGTTTGTAACACAGCATGTTTGACTGCTTTTCCGCGTTATTTGGCTAACATTAAAGAAATCATCGTTGTAGGCTTTTATCCTTCCCTCTTCCTCCATGGATAACAATCTTCCACGCGGTATTTTATTATAAATTAATTAAATTGTAAACCGAAATATAAACAAAATTAATGTACACCAAATTGTTCTCTCCAGGCGCTATAATTGAAATATGTCATATAGCTTAGTTTCATTTTCAGACGTAACAAAAACCGAACTCTTGTGTTTTTTTTTACCGCTCCTTGAAAACGGTGTAAAGGAATTGCTAGCTTTCAGTATTATGCGACGTTTATCACTGTCAGACAACTTGGATTTTCTACTAGAACTTCGCTTCGCACCATATTTATCCGAATTGTTCAAAAATTTGTTTGTAACACAGCATGTCCGACTGCTTTCCCGCATTATTTCGCTAACATTAGAGCCATCATCGTTGTAGGCTTTTATCCTTTCCTCTTCCTCCATGAATAACATGTGGCTTTTTTTTATAAAGTTATTAAATTGTAAACCGAAATATAAACAAATTTAATTAATACCGAATTGATCTCTCATTTTGGCCAGGATTGTATGATTCATTTTATTTATTGGGACCACTGTATCAAGAAAACGAATGTAAAAAGGTTAGGGCTTAATTGTTTTCGTTTGGTGTTTATAATTTTTGGTACATGGACCAAGTGTGGGTGTTTTGGCCTAAGTGCGCGTTTGCTTAACATAATAGGAAATGAATTACGTTTTACACCCTTGCAGAGGGTATTCTAATTTCAGTGAAAAGTTTGCAACGCAGTGAAGGAGACATTTCCGACCCTATAAAGTATATATATTCTTGATCAGCATCACCAGGAGAGTCGATCTAGCCATGTCCGTCTGTCCATCCGTCCGTTTCTACGCCAACTAGTCCTTCAGTTTTAAAGCTATCTGCTTGAAACTTTTCCAAAAGTTGTATTTCTATTGCAGAAAGTATATAAGTCGGAACGAGCCGGATCGGGCGACTATATCATATAGCTGCCATATAACTGAACGATCGGAAAAGCCATAACTTTGGTGTTTTTTTAAGTTAGGCAGTTGGGATTTTCTGTGGGTTTTATTTTTGGCCAATCAATCCGACCTACCAAATTTCATAAGGTTCGGCCGACTATATCTTATAGCTGCCATATAACTGAACGATTGGAAATGCCATAACTTTGGTGTTTTTAAAGTTAGGAAGTTGGGACTCTTTATGAGTATTAAGAATGCATCATATGAATAATTTTGGAGAATATAATTTACAGAATATTCTGCAAGGGTATATCAACTTCGGCTCGGCCCAAGTTAGCTTTCCTTTCTTGTTTTCTTTAATGAATATTTTCTTTCTTGAATAATTTCTGTTGGTATGTTTTTGATTTCCTCCGGCTATTGTATTATATCTGATATGATCAAAATTTCTTTAGTATTCAATTTACACCAAGTTGAAGTTTTAATATTTATTATTTTTTCTGTTGTTATATTTTTATTAAAATCATAATTTAAAATCATCATTTAATAATTTGGAGTAAATATCTAATCTTGGGAGCTGCATTCTTAACTCAATGTCTTGTATGAATTCTGTAAAAATGTTTATATTGAAAATTGGCCATTTTGATTTACTTTTCTACTAGTGTTGTAATATTATTTTATTTATTGCTGTTATTCCTTGATTGACTGTTTTTATTATTATCTGCCGTTACCAGTGTATCAGTGTACCAAATAAGTATTTATAAGCTGTTACAGCGATGTCTTCCTGGCTTGCTGATAAATATTGTATCTGTAATACGTGGAACTTAAGGAGTTATATACCTTTTTCATTATAAAAAAATAGAAAATTTTGTTATGGCTTTATGTTGAAGAACAACTCCTTGAGAACATTTTCCCAAATATTCATAGAGATTTGAGCAGAAGAAAGAAAGTTACAGCGTTCCTAGTCGCGCGCCTCGTCCCCGCCCCAAACCCAAAAAATGACTTTGCGGTGATATGGATTGGCGAAAACCTACTGAACCGATTTTCTTCAAATTTGTTTTTAAATGTTCATGATGAATTTTGTGTGATCGATCGTTTTTTCATGCACAAATTTGCATAAAACGTTCCCGTATGCACAAAAAAAAAATTATAAAAAGCAATCGTTCAATAGTTCTAAACTAATGAAATTTTTTTATTTTTACGGTTTCAGTTGACCGGTTTTACATAGGGAATAATCACCGCAAGGCTGTTCCAAAAATATATTTCCCTTAGCAATGAAGAGCCACAATGTTATTGGAATTCATGGATTCTGCGCCGCTTCTGGCAAATACTCTGTATTTCTCAATGAAAGCGTCTCTAGAGAATGGGAAACTGTTAAAGTGTATATGCTAGAAAGGAATGACAGTATATATCTTACAGTTATAGAGTAGGCTTATTGCGTAAATATCTTAATGTATATGAAATAGTGGTTCTCATATGTATCTATACTACCACAGCTCGGTCTTCCTGATCACTGTTCCCCTGATCACTGTTATCACTTTAATGGAATTTTGACCAGTGGTTGATATTTTAAATGCTCCTGACACCTTGGTACGGGTTACGGGATACGTGAAACCCGTCTATTTCTTAATGCTTTTGAAATTACGTCAAGCCGTTTTTTTTTTGGAATTAACTTTTGAGAAAATCCTGCTGTGCTATCGAAATTCTTTATTATTACCTAGTCTCCTTTTGTGTGTTCTGACGGCTTTCTAGCTGTCTTGCCTTATTGTACTTTGTGATTTTGTGATTTTCCTTGCTTTTTTTATCGTTTCAAATTTTCTTCAAGTATCTGTCATACTGTACAACTCTTCTAACTTTTCTTTCTGATCATCTACTATTTCTCTTTGTTCTATGCCAAAAAGCATCTTGCTTGTAATTTGTTTTATACTGCGCTGTTGGGTGCTACTTATTACGTTTTCTATTTTATCAATCACTGTGTTCCAATATATACCTTTCTCTGGCTCTCAGTTTAGCTACCATTTGTCCAAAGCTTCTGTGGACTCTTTCAACTTGCCCGTTTGCCTGTGGTGATGAAGTTGCTATCTTTATATGCTTATCGTTAAATTATAACAAAAAATCATCGAACTCTTCTGACGTGCAGCAGATCCCCTATCTGAAATTATGAATTTGGGCTTGTCTATACTCTAAAGTAGTCAATAATGGTGCAATGACTTCCCTTGTGTTAGTGGTGCTAAACGTACGAACTTTGTGAAACCGTCGATGACCACTAAAACATGTTCTTTCTACCTGAATCGAGTGGGCCATAATGATCGATATGTATTATCTCAAAATCCTTTCTTGCCTGTCTAAGGGGAAAATGCAATGCATTAAAAACAGTTTTCAACATGGCTTGAACATATGTATTAAGCGTTAGAAATACAATAAGTTTTCGAAATGACATCTAACAGTTGTGATACTTATACAGAAGATGCTATTTCATATCCGTAGGAACATAAAATAATAATCTGCCATCGTTACATTTCCTAGAAACTATTTCGGTTCTCAATTTAAATAACTTTTCTCAAAATGTTTTTTTAATTTCATGAATTTTTGGATCCTTGGCTTGGCAGATTACTAAGTTTTCTACAATCTTATTGGATTCTTCTATCAAAATATTCGTGCATCTACTAAGAGCGTCAACATGTTGCATTTTATTGTCTTTTCTATGTATCCGTTCATAGTCATAATTTTGGTGCTCTAACGCCCACCTAGCTATTAATCTCAATCTTATTAAGCGCTAAAGGTTAAAAAAACCATATTTAATAATCTTAAATCGTTTTCCATATATATCCGAAACCTTCGCAATGCGTGAATAATGGCTTTTGTCTCAAGCTCGAAGCTGTGATATTTTGACTCTGCAAAGAATGTGCGCTTGGAGTAGTAAAAGATGGGGTGTAATTTTCCGTCTTCTTTATTTTGACACAAAACAGCACCAAAACCAAGAAGGGTGACATCACAGTGCAGTTCCACATCGTCTTTGTAATTGTCTAATTGCCAAAACCGGTGCCTGCACCATCTAA